CAACCCCAAAGACACACAATGTGAGTCTGGGGGGAAAAAACACATTGTCTTCAAAGCAATCACTCCTAATCTATTTGGGTAATTAATGAGAGTGTTAACAAGCAGGCAGGGGCCCTAGAGTAGGGTGAGGGTCTAATGTGGAGTGATGGAGTCATGATGAGGGGCCATCTCCACTTGACACTGATGGTCCATGTGCTCTGAATACATATGTAGACAGCTGGACCTCTGAACCTTGTTCTTACTGATCAATCATTTATCCAACTGTCTGAACCAGTAAACTGTCTGAAAAATAGAAAAAAAGATTAATACTTAGTGCAATGAAACTGTTTTAAACATGTTTTGATGCCTGTTAAAACCTTAAAGTGACAGTTCACCCAAAAAAATTGAATTCTGACATCATTTCCTCACCCTCATGTTGTTTCAAAAATAAAACCCAAAAATGTTGAACACATTTGGAGAAAAAAATAATTTTTTTATGGCTGTGTATGACTTTCTTTTGTGGAACAAAAGTGAGATGTTTTAAGGATCTTAATCTCAATCGAATTTATAGTGGCTTAGAAAACATCATACAATTAGCCCACAGGATTCGTACACAACAGTCCAAGTCAAGAGCATCAGAACAAAATTGAGTCATTATTTACTGACAATCTTTCCTTCCATGGAGCTGAAAACCCCAAAACCCCTGAGAGCAGATCATGAACAAACCAGTTAGATTTAGGAATGAATCATTATAAGTCTGTTCAAAATAATTATTTATTAATTGATTCGGTTCTTAAGTCATTATGAACTGTCACTCTATGGTAAAAAACAACATGCAAATTCATTTTAACATCCTTATGTTGCCTATAGACATTAAGGTGAGCAACAAATAATTAAAGGGGGCCTATTATGCCCCTTTTTACAAAATAAGTCTCAGGTGTCCCCAGAATGTGTCTGTGAAGTTTCAGCTTAAAATACCTCACAGATAATTTATTATACCATGTTGTAAATGCATTTTTGAGTGGAAGGAAAAACATGCTGTTTTCGTGTATGTATCTTTAAATGCAAATGAGCTGCTGCTCCCAGAAGAGGGCGGAGCCTGTACAGCTCATGCCTCTGTCCAGATACTCTGCCAAAAACTAACAAAACATCTTTTTGGTTTCGATTATCATCCCTACATTTGCAATTGTTTTTCTTGTTTCACATTTAAATTGAACAAAATGTACTCTAATTAAGGTTCATGCTTATAACAAAACAACAAAAACAACATTTTGCAATGTGCTAGTAAAATTCTTATGTAAATTAAAATAGTTAATTAATATGTAAGGTTGTTTAGATATTTTTACAGAAAAAAATAATTTCTTGCAATATAACTGCAGAAAGAGTTGCATCCATTAAGAATCTTGATGCATATAAAGAGGCCAAAACCCGTCAGGCTGTGCTGATCAAAAGCTTTATACTGTCTGTACATTTGCTGTGTTATCGATTCTTCCCTTGCTCAAACCTATTTTAAAAGATCTCTCCGCACACAAACCTGTATGATAGTGCAGTGTAATAATCACTCAGAATCCATCATAGTCCCTTCTCCCTTCCTGTCTCTTTCTGTACAGCCCTTTTCAATTGGCTTGGAAAGGCTTTTTATCACTGCTCCTAAAACAAGCCATTACAGGCTTTATTATAGCGACTGGCTTCTCGGCTGGTGTACAGGCACACCTCTGTCGCTACAACTGAACCAGGGGTGCAAAGCTCCATGACATACATTTTACAAGAACTGATAGAGTTCTCCCAGCACAGTTATAGGAGTCATTTCACCCCAACCAGCACTTAGCGGGTCTGAGGAGGTCACTCGACTGAGTCTGCCCAAACTTATTAACACAGAGAAGGAAGGTTCAAGCTAAAATTAAGGTCACACAAAACCAATCCAAAATGCTGAGGGAGACAGAATGAGGAAATTGAGGAAGCACAGGTGTCAAACGGCAAATTTGACTATTTCTATTTGACTCCAAATTGGACAAGAAAAATACATTTGAATAGACACACAATGTTGCTTCCAAAAAGCTAATTCGGTAACACTTTACAATAAGGTTCATTTATTAAACATTAGTTATTAACTAACATGAACTAACCATGAGCAATACATTTGTTACTGTTTTTGTTAACGTTAGTTAATACAAATCCAGCTGTTCATTGTTTGTTCATGTTAGTTCACAGTGCATTAACTAATGTTAACAAGATTTTAATAAAGTATTAGTAAATGTTGAATTAAATATTAACAAAGATTAACAAATGCTGAAGAAGTATTGTTCATTCTTAGTTAATGTTAACTAATGTAGTTAACTAATTAACCTTATTGTAAAGTGTTACCAACGAGATTATAAATGCTAAGCTAAATGTTACAACAGATTTCTGACTCCATCTGTATCTCCGAAGTGTATGATGTTTTAAGCACTATGAGTCATACACGTCACATTCAATTATCTTCAAAGGCCAGCGTGATAGTGTTGTGTAATATGTCACACTTTTATTCTCTAAACCATTGAAATGTACCCAGAGGGATTTTTAAAATATCTGTACATATTATTTAGCTAAATAGCTATATATTATCATTCATTGATAAACACATCATTGCTGCATTTCTGAGGGATTTTTAAGGGAACTCCTTACTGTGTAGCCTTAAAGCAATCGCCACTGGTCAAACTCTCAAAGGACCCTGCTGAGTCAGAAAGCCAAACATTTATTAAACTGCATGTCTTTGAGGTCAGATGTCTAGTGCAATTTAATTCGGACCATCTGGATGTACGTGTTGAAGATGTTCACAACACAGCCCTAGAATGTCAAAAATGTCTCTGCATTAGTTCACTCAAAACTAGTTTCTCAAAATGTCCCTCATGTTGTTCCAAATCTGTATGAATTTCTTTCTTCTGTATATGGTTTATTCATTTGGTAGAAGATGCTTTTATCCAAAGTGACTTTTTTAAAGATATTATATTATATTATATTATATTATATTATATTATATTATATTATATACAAATGGGTAGGTTTAGGGGTAGGGGTTGGGTTACGTGCTCAAATGTCCAAATAGTGTAAATAAAAAATGTAATAAAATGCAAAAAAAAAAAAAAAAAAGATGATTTACTCCAATATATAATTTAATCACAATAAAATTCCCATGCCCATTGCGTCTGTGTATTGATGCCAAAGGTCTTTCAATGAAAGCAATCGAGGAAAATTACACTAAAGGGGTACCCTGTGCTAGAGGTCTGCATTCCCGATAAGAATTCTTGATTCAATTTTCGAAAAAAGACTGTAGCGGTCGGTGACTCTTGTGTACTTTGGACGGGAGCGGCCGGGCTATTGTCCTTTATACAGCCTGCTTTGAGGACTGTATTATGCATGTGCTGTGTTCATGGACCAGTGCTTTCTGCGTCATAAGTTTTATTTGCATGCGTCTGTTTTTGAACGAGAGACGCTGAAACTGTCGTCAGGACATTCTTTAATTGCATGGATGTTAAATAGTTCAGTTTCAAAAAGTGATTTCATTGCGCAATAGCTATAAGCCAACGGTTTTCATTTATTCATATTCATGCCGGGAAAAAACAGTCACCCGCAGACCTCTACCCTGTGCGTTACAAAGTGAAGCCGACGACGAGTCTTGACCAAGCATCAATATGTGATGAGTTGGGAGTGAGAATGTGTTGATTATAAAATACATCTCTTTTGGGAATCTGGACCAAAAATATTGTTCATTAACACTGCGGCACTCACTCTAAAGTGAGTTTTTGACAACTTTGTTTTAATAGGAAGTCAGGAAAGTAAACAGCACTCATCGATCTATTTTTATGAGGTATTTAAATGTCAGGAAATTACTACCACCCTACAACTGATGAAGCCATTCAGATGAGGATAAATGGGAAAAACACATCCTGATGATCCGGAATAAATTCTTAAATGTTCTTATCCGTGTGTGGATGATGAAGAAGATAAATTTATCATTGAAATGCTATATTGATCGCAAGGCAATTGGCAATATATTTCCCAGCACAGAGAATGTGCACAGCGACCTAATTTGCAGGTCATAAATTAACTCTACGTACAACTAACAAACATGCCTAAACATTGATGTTTTACCAAATAAAAAAATAACAGGTAGTCGCAGAGGTGTATAGGTAAGAGTGGATTGAGTGTAAGCCTTTGTGATTGACAACACAAAGAATATGAGATCACAGTGGGCTTCTGTAATGAGAAACAGGAAAGAACATGGTATGAAACCCAAGAAAAGTGTCTGTAAACAAAAACCAATATTACACAACAACACACACACGCACACACACAAACACACACACCTCAAGAACAGACACATTCACATTGTCAATCTGTCTTCAAAACAGTCAGTGTGGAGGAGAGACTGGTGTTGAGGAGAGTTTCTGTGATGGAAATTGGAAAAGCTCGTGCTGAGGGATTTCTGACATTTCTGACATAGCCAGTATTAATATCTAGCTATAAAACCAAAATACAAGCCTATATTTTTAGATAGAAAATCAGAATATCAATCAGAGTATTAGCCAATATGTTCAAGACATAAAATCAGAATATAACCAAATATTTCCTAGCTATAAAATCAGAAAATAAGCCAATAGTTGTTTAGCCAAGAAATCAAAATCAGCCAATATTTTTTAGCTATAAAATCAGAATATAATTAATATTTTTAGCAGGAAATCAGAATATTCAGAAAAATCACAATATATGCCAGTATTTTCTAACTATAAAATCAGAATACAACCCGATATTGTCTAGTAATAAAATCGCCAATATTTTTTAGCCCAGTGTGTCCAGAATTTTCAGCGTTGACTCTCATTTCTTTGTTGCATCACTAATTCTGACTCTTTCCATCAGCTCTTACTATCAACGAGGCTACAATTCCTCTATGTTTCGAATTCAAATGTATTAAAGGCATCTCTGACATGTACAGCTGTCTGACAGCAATCACTCAGTTTCAGACCCAAATATGGTGAATGTACCTCCAGGAAAGATGTCTCTTGTTCCACTTATTTTGAGGAGCTAGTGCCCGCTTTCTTCTCCCTGCTGACATCTCTGGCTCTGACACATCTGGCAGTGAGCAGCGAGGGGTCTTCATTAAGCCCAAGGTTGCTTGGTCTGCAGGGAAACACATACATGCATAAATACAGACCCAGACACATGTGCAGCATGCAGATAGATAGGGCGATGCGTTTTTATTCCTGTAGACTTCAAAAGAAAATCTGCCAGCTGCAGTAAGCCAGATGGACACGAGACTATAAAAAAAATTGAGAAATATATATCTCTTAAAACATTCAAAAATGCAAGGAGAACAACCAAGGACAACGTGGACCAGAGTTTTATTATGAAAATAAAAGCATGTACTAACCTAGCACTCCAGTTTCCTCCAGCCCTCCAAACCTCTGCATGGCTTTGATGGCTCTTGTCAGAGCTTCCTTGGTCTGTAGCTGTCCATTCACAGGATCAGGGGGTGGGAGATACCCAAACTTACTCAGCCAATCCTGTAGTAGGAAGCAGGTGTTGTTAAAGAGCACTGTTGTCAAAATTAGTAGATGCTTTCGCTAAAATTATACATTTCTGACAACTAGCAGGTATTTTACAGCAAATGCAGTGGATTTTTATGCATCCCTCATCAATTTAGTAAATTATGACGTGATGGGGGCATGAACATGTACAGGGTTTAATTGGCTAAAATATTAAATTTGCGATTTCTAAAGATGGCAATCTTATCAGTTTGTTTCTTTTATCACAATATCATAATTAAGTTAGCAGACATTTAAGATGACAGATTGCACTTTTTGTCATGTCTTCAGATGCAACTTCTAAAACGGGCAATTAGGGATGCTCATTTCGGTTAATTTTCCCGACCGACAACCGCCACTCGTTATCCGAGTAGGCTATTAACTGTTAACTGATAAGATTATAATAGCCTATTGAATTAAATAAAAATAAAATTGAAGAGTTTCTGTGACCCGTTAAAAATGCATTTTTTTTCATGGGTTTATTTTAACGTGCAAACAGCAGAACAGATCAACAACAGAACCTGGATTCACATCAAATTTTCACACACTTGACAGTGACAAAAGAGAAAAACAGAATAAAATAATATAAATAAAAAAACATAAAATAGGCCTACACTAAATTTATTTTTCCTCCAGACTAAGTTTCTTCGTCAAATAAAAATAGCAGGCCTACCTCAATCCACACATTGTCTAGTATTTATTTAAAAAAAAGTAACATGTCTACATAATGTGGGGTTAGTCTGGAGCGCAGCCTGTTCGACCCGCGGCAGAAAACACCCTCTCCGATTGCACAGATGTCCCGGGAACACAGAGATAACGTCTCCCTAGAGTGGTCAGCTTCGGGAAGCGACTTTCATTTGCTTGTGGATGTTTGCTTCGCAAGTGATATTGCATTGTACTTGTAACTACTGCTGTATTTTAATACTGCGTAGCATATTTTGCGAGTAACTTCGTTGCCCTTTCTGTCGAAATGGTCCCACACAGGCCTACTTCTTTTCGCTCGCTTCATTTTGCCTGCTCAGCGAAATATGTCTGTAGGCACGACACGTGTGGTTGCGCGTGTCGACGCGTCCCGTGAGTTAACGAATATAGGCTATATTGTATTTTTTTTAGCCATGCAGCAAACAAACAAACAAAAAAATGTTCAACTGTTGAACCGTTTAATTAATGGGTCAAAATGTTTACTTTCGGTTAACGGTTAAACGGTCAATATGAGCATCCCTATACTGGCCTTTTATTAAGAAATATCCCAGGTGCTTTCTCAGGTTGGACTCTAATTAAAAAGTTTCCGTTATCTTGGGAATATTTTTTTCATTGGTAACCACGCCATATATTTTCCTATGTCCCCAATTTCACTTTCCATCCTGTTACTTGTTTATAAATCTTCAACTTAAAAAAAATAATAATCCCCTCATTAATGACGTCATCCTTCAGGCAGTGACATCATTTTTGGTGAGCTAGAAACAGCACGAACATTAGTAAATATTAGCAATGGATTTGATGAATGATGGGATGTTTTTTTTTTGTATTTAGTGTTTGTCTCGCACTAAAACAAATGATAAAACTACAGAATTCGGTTTGATACGTATCCCCCTCAATGTCAAGAGTGGTTGATCAAACCTCATGAAATCACTACCACAGATTCAAAAGACAATCACCATCTCTTACAACCACCCACTCACTTTATGTTGACTTAACTCTGCAGCTCATCTACTTGACATTGATGACTATTGCAATTGTGCTGAATGACTATTAACAAGCATCGATTTAAGTTGAAAATCAGGGCGATATTAAAGATTCTGACACACTCAAGCCTGATTTCTTTTCTCTATTATTGTGCATTATGCCAGACTATGTTGAATGTTAATGTTGTTTTGCCAGTCAGATCAATAACTGAGACCATCTCCTCACAATTCAAACGATTCCATTAGTAAAGTTGTTTTGTGCCAGTGCAGCAAACTCAGCAGAGCACGGAGGCGTCCCAGCTGCACATCAGTTCAGGCCTGCGGGCAAACTGTTTGCGTATGGACTTAATTTCATATAGTATTGTGCTAAAACACAACGGCAGTGTAATACGGTTCATTAAAATGGATGATCTCTGAAAGGGTTCTCGCTTGATTAATCATGCCACCTTCATTGTCAAGAAAAACAGCATTATGGCTACATTAATTATAAGAGCGAAAAAGAGCGATTTAAAATGTCAAAGCTGGCTGCCTTAAGGCATTGATGAAGTGAGCTTTTCCTTTAAGTGCCAATAAAATAATGAGGATGTGCTGTGTGTGGACAGACCAAGGTCTTTCAGAACAGGAGCGCACAAACTAACCCCTTAACAAATGATGACACTGACCAGCAAAAGAACTAGAACATCAGGTACAAGAGCTAAAAATACCATCAATATTGCATTCATACTCTGTCTTTGAATCTAAATCAGAGTTGAACTTGAAAAGTTCACTTCTTGAAGCTAACCTTTGTCAAGCTCCACACTCATTTCTAGCTTCCTTGTAACAAGGCTAGAGAGTAAGAATTATGAATCACTTCAAAGTACAGAAGAATAGAACAAGTCTCTAAAGGACATGCGGATGAGTGGGTCAACAACATCTAACCAAAAGATCTGACTTAAAGGAATAATGTAAGTCAGTACATTGTACCCCCACCCCCACAAAAGATGTTTTGAAGAAAGTTTGTATACTGCGATTTTTCTGTGAACAGTGTGTTCTTGCTGTCAAAAAAAAAAAGCGCCATAAAAACTGGTGTGAAGTCTGACAAATATATGCTTTTGAGTTCAATAAAAGAAAGAAAATCATACGGGTTTGGAACAGCAAAAGAGAGTAATTATAATGAATAAATAATTAACTATATGTGTAACAATAAATTTCAGAATAAAAAAAAAAATCACATTATAGAGTAATATTTAAAAAAAATAAACACAATTACCCCAAAGAAACCACATTTTTACCCAGACATGTTAGATTGTGATTTTGTAAATGATTTCTAATAAATCACAAAAAGCAAGCAAAAAAAAACAAAAAAGGTATAGATTCCACTACTTAAAAGTTGCTGTATTAGAGGGTTGATAATTTCATTGGCATCATTAGCTGTGGGTGTGATGGATGAATGCATGGCTCCTCTGTTTCATCTGTGTGCGCTGAAATTGCTGCTGAACACTGTCCAGCCTCGTTTAAAAGCCCTCGTGGCCAGCTTGACTCAATTTTTGTGTTGACACTGTCCAGCTGTGTAAAAGTGGTGAGAATGATGCTAGCCTTCTTGTGGTGAGCTCTTTTCCCGCTGATTATGCAACGATGCACGACAGCCACACTACTCAAATACTCAACCTCAACTATGCATGCACACACAAACAGACATACTAAAACACAGCATCAAGTACTAACAGGATGTTTTCTGAATCGTTTGCAGTATCGCACAGTATCTAACTCAAAGTATATCTAGTAACGTCAAAGTTAACAAGGTCAACTTGTGTCCTGTGATAAGAGGATCACTATACTAGTTATCATTTGAGTAAGGCATCCAAGACTACTATCTTGTTAGCACGCATCAGCATTTATTATATTATCTTCATGCTAAAATCATCAGATATGCGAGACCTGGTGGAAGTGCAAATATATCTGCCGTCATATGTGGCAATTCACTAATAATAAGGGTTGCATGATTTAATTGTTTTATTTTTAGTTTATTCAAGCAACATATTTTATATCGAATTTTGTCACCTAGAATGTTCATATTGGTGCAATCCTTACAAATAAATTTAGAATTCAGTACTTCAGCTCAGTTTCAATAGCTTCATCTTACTATATTTCATCACATGTCATAACTGTTCAATTCATCATTCAAATTTTATATCACTCATAAAACAGTGTTACAATTGCCCACACCATTACAGCCAAGATAAAATCCATTACAGTAGCAAACAGAATATGCCATTCATGCTAATCTTCAACCAACAACCAAGAGACAAAATAGATATTAGAAGTTTGCATACTGCCACACTTCTTTGTCTCTCTCTCTCTCTCTCTCTCTCTCTATGTATAATTTATAAATCATCTTTTCTTGCCTTTACTGGATACATAACAGGAGCTTATAGAGAAAAGGAGGTCGGGGTTTTCAGGACATGACACGGGCCAGATTTAAGTACGCTATCAGCCAGGCCACTTTTCTGACACAGCTCTCAAATTTAGTGAGGACTGTCATCTCACAACCTTTAATGGTTAGGGGCGAACTAAATAGATGTCAGAGACGTCGAAGGCTTTACTGAGGCACATTTTCCAAAAGACCCAAAAAACTCTTTCCAAAAAACTCAGCCAGGCTTGCTGGCTTTGATCAAGTGCATTACTGCAAAAGACGGATAAACCCTGGCGGTCCGGAGGTGATGATGAGAAAATGTGTTCAATGGTGAAGGTCAGTGTTCAGCGGTGCTTAGAATCCTCAAGCATGTTATCTGTCTTACTATGAACCAGTGGAAAGGTGATGATTCTCTTCACATGAAATTCAAAAGTCACTATGAATTGTTTAGCATAGGGTGGTGAGAATGGTCAAAGGTATATTAAACCTTTATAGAAAATGAGCGGAGAATCGATAAACTTAGACAATGCTGTATAAACCTGGAAATAAACTCCAGCACAGCTTTTTATGCTTTGAAGAGCGTGCACACACCACACCAAGACAGTCCCAGCTCGGTGTATCAAAGCCAGTTCCAGTCTCTTGGTTGCACAGAAGACTTTTACTCCATAGATTTATAGCCCTGACCTAACTGCGCCGAACTTGCAGAGAATGCTGTGAATGACTGGTAGATCTGTCTGGGTAGAGGTTTCAGGGGTCCTTCATATGCCACAACGAGACAAGGTCTATGCCACACAGAAGTTAACTGACTAGCCGCGAGAGGCTAATAGTCGGGAATCGACGTCAGTCAATGGCAATATGAATGAAAGGTCTTTTTCACAAGGAAAGAATTTCATTGA